ACATATAACATGTTAATGTAACTTAACATGTAACATATAACATGTAACATATAACATGTTAATGTAACTTAACATGTAACATATAACATGTAACATATAACATGTTAATGTAACTTAACATGTAACATATAACATGTTACATGTAACTTAACATGTAACATGTAACATATAACATGTAACATATAACATGTAACATATAACATGTAACATTTAACATATAACATGTAACATATAACATTATGTATTGTACCATTTAACATGTTTACTTATAGCATGTTATATGTAACATATAACATGTAACATATAACATTATGTATTGTAACATTTAACATGTTTTCCATGAGTTAATGAAGCAGTTTATCTTAAATCTAAGTTAAACTGAACAAGCTGCAGTTGTTTTATTTTGAAGGAGTCAGTTGTTTCTGTCTCTGCACACAGAAACATGCAGAATCTGTTTGTTAGATGAAATATTTGATGTTTCTGATCTTCAGACAGACTCAGGAGATCTGGAGAACCCGTACCCTCAGAGGCCTGCAGACTGAAGCAGAGTCCCAGAGCCAGGTGAGCCCGAGGCAGGAACTCCCCCGCCTCCTCCCCCATGGACACCACAGTGTGGGAGAGCTCCTCGGCCTCCTTCAACTGGAAACAAACACATCCTGTTTCATCCCATCAGATTATAATCCAGTTTCTACATGATGCACAAGTATCTGATGATGTCATTAACTTCACATCCGCTCCAACATTTTTACAAACAAACATTATTTTCACAATCGTTCTGCTTCTTTTACAGTTTGTACATTTAACTTTTTTAACCCGAACCCTAACTCTAACCCATCAGTTCAGATTATTACACATTAACTGTCTCTCCAACCCTCCTTTTTCTTTACCCTCCTTTACCCACAAGAGATGGATTGATGACAGCTCCGTCCCTCTCTTCACCTGAGTGTCCAAAACCACTACCTGATGGTGAGTTGGCTCCGGTGGTGGGGGAGGATGCCGGCCAGACCTGGCAGACCCAAACGTATKGTGAGGGTCTGCTGGGAACGTCTGGAAGGGTCTCCTGTCAGACGGAGCTTCAACTCACACCTCCGGGGGAACTTTGAACATGTTCCAGGGAGGTGGAGGAGATTGAGTCAGAGTGGACCATGTTCCGTGCCTCCATTGTRGAGGCAGCTTACCTGAGCTGTGGCCGTAAGGTTGTCGGTGCCTGTCATGGTGACAACCCTTGAATCCGCTGGTGGACACCGGTAGTGAGGGATGCTGTCAGGCTGAAGAAGGAGTCCTATCGGGTCTTTTTGGCCTGTGGGACTCTGGAAGCAGCCGACAGATATCAGCAGTCCAAGAGGATTGTGACTCGGGTGGTCACTGAGGCAAAAACTAGGGTGTGGGAGGAGTTCAGAGAGGCCATGGAGAAAGACTTCCGCACGGCTTTGAGGTGATTCTGGTCCACCATCCGGCGTCTCAGCGGGGAAAGCGGTTCATCACCACCACTGTTTATGGTGGGGATGGTGCTCTGCTGACCTCAACTCAGGAATTGTGAGTCGGTGGGCAGAATACTCTGAAGACCTCCTCAATCCTACCGACACGTCTTCCCATGAGGAAGCAGAGCCTGAGGACCCTGGGTCGGACTGTCCAATCTCTGGTGCTGAGGTCACTGAGGTGTTTAAAAAGCTCCTCAGTGGCCGGGCCACAGGGCTGGATGAGATTCACCCAGAGTTCCTTAAGGTTCTGGATGTTGTGAGGTTGTGTTGGTTGCTGTGACTCTACAATATCATGTGGACATCAGGGGCAGTTCCCCTGAATTGACTGACCAGGGTGGTGGTCCCCCTATTTAAAAAGGGGGGCCGCAGAGTGTGTTCCAACTGTAGGGGGATCACACTTCTGAGCCTCCCTGGTAAGGTCTATTCAGGGGTCCTGGAGAGGAGGGTCCGCCAGATATTTGAATCTGGGATTCAGGAAGAGCAGTGTGGTTTTGATCCTGGTCGTGGAACACTGGACCAGCTCTACACCCTCAGCAGGGTCCTGGAGGGTTCATGGGAGTTCAACCAGTCTACATGTGTTTTGTGGACTTGGAGAAGGAGTTCAACCGTGTCCCTCAGGGACTCCTGTGGTGGGTACTCCGGGAGTATGGGGTACCAGGTCCATTAATACGGGCTGTTAGGTCCCTGTAGGACCGGTGCCAGAGCTTGGTCCACATTGATGGTAGTAAGTCAGACTTGTTTCAGGTGAGAGTTGGACTCCACCAAGGCTGTCCTTTGTCACCGATTCTGTTCATAACTTTTCTGGACAGAATTTCTTGGAGCAGCCAAGGTGTTGAGAGGATCCTTTTTGGTGACCTTAGGATCACATCTCTGCTTTTTGTGGAGGATGTGGTCCTATTGGCTTCATCAGATCCTGATCTCCAGCTCTCACTGGAGCGGTTCACAGATGAGTATGAAGAGGCCGGGATGAGGATCAGTGCCTCCAAATCCCAGACCATGGTCTTGAGCCAGAACAGGGTACCTTCTCTGGGTCGGGGAGGAGGTCCTGCCCCAAGTGGAGGAGTTTAAGTATCTCAGGGTCTTGTTCATGAA